CTCATGAACAGTAGAATTTTTAAACAGTAAAGAATGTTATCAATCAGGGTTTCGATGATTATGTTGTAAAATGTCACGTAGAAACTGTTTACCTAAATTCACCTTCCAAAGAACACTTTATTCCCAAACAGTTTGCTGGATTTTGTTTTAAAAATATCATGCACTATCAGGGGAATATCCCAGCTATATATTCGAATTGGAAATCAACATTCCACACAGGTTTTCATGAGAATTCTTGTTCAATAATGATAAAAACTTACAGCCTATGCATGTTGGTATATATGAAGTTCAACTAGAGGTAGGGAGGTTATCTAATGTTGAACAGAGATAATATAGTCCTCAATCAAAACACAGTAGACCGCTGGAAAATACAAAGTTCGAAAATAGACAAATAACAAAGCTGGACGTTTGAAAACTCAAAACGAAATGAACTTAAACACCATTACCAAACAATGTAAACAATCCGCCAATGGCCCATAGAGTAGTACCGACATTCGCCGTTCTGGCGCTATGATCTTAATCTCAGTCGCCTATCGGGCCTTATTTTTTTTTCCTCGTAAGCAATCGAACCTATGTTCACACAACGAATAGAATCAATAGACTTCTGCGATCGTGACAAACAAAATAGTTTCCTTTCGTGACTTGCTGTGATTATTATAGTTGTACTTCTGTTATGAACATAAATTCAGGGATAAAAAAAACTGATTAACTATAAATAATTCCATAGCATAGCCAAGGCAAGGGACTACGTTTCCGGTTAGTATTCCGAAGAGTTCGTCTACTACGAGACTCCACATCAAGGGTGATAGTACCCCTCCTTGTGGACATCCCCTACTTGTGCTGATCTGAAAACTGTTCTCACCCACTTTCGTTTCAGCAGTTTTTGTGGCCAGCATTTGGCACATCCACCTGGGTGTGGTTCCGTCAATGCCCTTGTTCATCAGGGCCCTTTTTAATTGCTTCATGTGAGGTGTTTGTCAAATGCCCCCTCTATTTCTAAGAAGGCGCATATGGCCGTTTCTTTATGCTCGAGCGATTTCTGGATGTATTCTGTTAAGACGAATAGAGCGGTTTCCGTCGATCTGCCCGCCCTATATGCGTGCTGTCCGGGGTGCAGTGGCACCCTCTCCAGTCTCGGTTCTGATATAATTATCTACGGTTTCCTCCAGTGTTTTTAGTAATAAGAAGGATGAGAGACAAATCGGTCTGAACGACTGCGGAAGGGTAGGGTACATCTCCTCTACTTTGGGAATGAAGGTTATACTCGTGCCCTCCCCCAGTTGCTCGGTATGTACCCGAGCGCTAAGCTGAATCTAGCTGCTTTGATAATGAATGGCAAAAGTTCCGTTTGCCCTTTTCGCAAGAGGGCCGGAAATATGCCGTCGATTCCAGAGGACTCAAATGGTTGGTAGTTGTCAACTGCCCACTTCAATCTTTGGGGAGTTCATATGTTCTTTGCTACTCTCCAGTCTTCTTGTTTTGCTTTGCTTGGTTTCAACAGTGGCCTCTAGGAATCATAGTGTGCTACCTGGAAAGTGCGTCTCCAGTAGGAGAGCGCGTTGCTCTTCATCCTCTGTGTAGCTCCCATCTGTTCCTCTGAGTGACATTGGTCCTTGCTATCTGCCCCTGTCCATAGTTTTGTGCAATCTGGCTGCTGCAGGGATTGTGTTGATTTTCTCACAAAAGTTCCTGAAGCTGTTTCTCTTGGCTTCTCTTATTTCATTGTTATAGTTTGTCAACCTTTTGGTGTAGCCCCGCCATTCTCCTTCACGCTTAGCTTCATTGAATAGCCAGCGGACTTCTACCACATGGTATCACTGTGTGATTTATTTTCTTCAATGGGGCAGCTGGATTCAAATCCATCCATAATTTTCCCATTAACCGCTTCCGATGTCTGCTCAAATTCCACGTTACTTTTGCCGTTGAATTTGATCTGTTCTAGGTTGCATTTCAGATTGGTTGTGTATTTATCCCGTGTTTCTAGGATTTCTAGTGAAGGTTGTTTGTGTCACAAGCCCTTCCACGTTGATCATGATAATTCTGTGGTCGGAAAGGGAGGGTTCATCTGAGACCCTCCAATTCCTTACCATTCTACTAATGCTCGGGCTGTCGAGCGTTAAATTAATCTAATACTTCTTGTCTAACCATAGTTACAAAGGTAGGGGTGTACCCCATGTTGAGTACGTTCAAGTTAGACGCGTGTCTGAATTCTAGCAGTTGCTCACCTCTTTGATTGGCATCCGTGCTACCCCAGATGGTGTTGTGAGCGTTGGCGCCACAGCCCAGCAGGAGGGGTAGGTTACTCCTACTGGCCTACTGCAGTAGTCGGATAGCCTCTGTACTTCTTCTGGTGGTGCTTGCCCACCTCCAGCGAAGTATCCTGAGGCTATTATATACAAGCTCTGGGGTTGTCAGACCTGACATCCCAGATAACAATACCTTCTTTATTCGGCAGTCCTCGAATCTGATATCTGTTGACCAAAGGTTCTTAGATCAATACAACTCCCAAGTGTGCCCCGGTGAACACCCTCGATAAGGCGGCTGATGGCCCCTTAGCGTGGTGACTATTCACCTGGGCAAACTTGACTGGGACTGTATTAGTCATCACTGCTAGTGAGTTGGAGTGCTTGCCTCCTCATCATCCAGCAGCATTAGCTCTTCTCCGCTGGGAATGACCGTGGGTCCTGGTCCATACTCCCAGTGTCTTGAGGAGCTGGTCATTGCCCTCTTTCTTGCTCCCTAGTGTTATCCACAACTTGGTTCGGAGCGCCCTATTTTGTGTGCTCACTAGAGTTGGCTACTTTTCCGGTTCGAATTCCGTACTTCTGGGAAAGAACACTATGATGGTGTGCGCCCTTCGGATGTCGTCTCCCATACTGAGGCGGAAGTAAATTCCCCTGAATTGGAGTTTGCATTCCTCGCCCAGTATCATCTCCTGTACGATGGTATCTTCTAGTAGTGCTGTAAGCTGCTCAGCACTCAGCGTTGAGGGGGCGTTTGTGTTTTAGGTCCCCTCTTCTCCGTTTCTTGAGGAGGTTGCTCCTGGGGTTTCTTCCTCTCGACGGATTTCCTTCTTGCTTCCTCAGGTGTCAAGCCCTGTTCGCGGAAGCGAAGGTACTATCTTACTCCTGCCCCGCTGAGGCCCCTTCTCAGCAGATTGTCGATACCTCCAGGCTTGCCTGGAGGTGGCAGCGGCATTTATCTCATCCGGTTCTTCGCGGACGATTTTCTGGAGGAAGAACCCTTGTCGGATGCTTGCTCCGCTAGTTCTTCCTCTTTCTTCTGCTTTTCCCTATCTGTCTCCCGAGGTGAGCTCAGTGTTTGAGAGGTGCCAGGACGATCTCGGACGTCCTGGGTTGCGGTAACATCCCGCAATCGTTTTCCTTTTTTAGAGTTCCTATTCATGTTGTTCCCACGAGTAGCTAGGGAACTGGAAGTCAACCACGCTGGATCCCCGCACTCTATTTCTCTGAGGGTTAAGGGTACTCAATAATTTGTATACGTCGCAACATTTTGTCTGGCAATAATTCACGCCCACAGGACCTCTGTTTCGAAATTTCTAAAAAAAGTACCTTTTGTCAGAATACACGTGGCTTGAATTTTTTATGAATATATTTATTCCTCTGAGGCTCTTCAATAATCTGTTGATCTGAGAAGAAGTTCCATTTACGGACATATTTTGGAGATTTCAGTAATTTCAGCCACGAGTATAAATTGAATATTCCACGGACATATTTTGGAGGTTTCAGTAATTTCAACTACGAGAATAAATTGAATATTCCATAAGTAAATGAACATTTGAATCTAATAGAAAAGTTTAGAAACACCATTAGTGACGATGTCCTTAATTCCCAATAACACTTATGTAATATTAATGCTGATTTAGATATTCTACATACTTACCAAGAGGATTGTTTGTTGAATCTTTTGGAAAATTTTGAAATCAACTAATCTTTGAAAGACTAAAACATTTTTTAACGCAATGAACAAATCCATTTCGACTGCCAAAAATACTTCAATTTCTTGAGTTTCTAATGCTTTCATGTAAATGTGTTTTTCTGCTGTGGTCCCCAACGTAAGAGTCTCTATCAAAATTCCCCTAGATTGTTAACTTGTTTCGGTTGTCCTCCTATATATTACCTTAATTCTGAAGTTGCTCATCCACAAGTTGGTCACAATTTTCAAGGGACGTCTTGTCTTGTCTTTAGGCTGTGCCAAGTCTATGGCTTGACCGGGCACATACGTTTAGTATGAAGTCTGATGACCATCAGTCTGACCAACTATAGCTGTTTGGGAATGTCGGGCACGTTTCGAACCTGCCCAAAAAGTTACCACGTTACCTTGTGATGGGAGTCCAGTCAGCCATTTACCATTATATGATATCACCACTGTGGTCGAACGAATGACTTGACTCAGCCTCAGTGACGAGTTATTCAGTGACATTATGAAGATGATACATTTCATGATGTTTTTTCATTTTCGGATGTCTATCGGCGCCTACTAATGAGGAAATGTAGCTATTCTAATTACCAATTGGGACACAGGGCCCCCTGTTAGAAAACCTGTTATAATACGTTTAAATTTTTAAAAAATCTTTGAAACTCCAATTCCAATTTGATTCCAATCTGTCTTTTTTTTCACATGAGTACTAGCATGTATAACCATTGATATCCTATTGTTTCTTTGTTCTTTGTAGAATAATTTCTATCAGCTGATGATGGATAGTCATAGATCCGGAACATGTTTCCTCCTCATTTATAATTTGATGATATGGAACGTTGTGGAGACGACTTGGAGTATTTTTGCTATATGAACTACTTCACTCCACTTTGAGACAATATGGACCTATTTCAAATTCCATACATTTTAGCTCATTGAGTTCTATACTGTAATAGATTTTTTGTTTTGTTTTGAAAAATTGAGAGAGTTTTGCGGTTTGAAATCGTGAAGACATTGTAAGTATACTATTATATGTATTGACGTAAATATCGTTATTTCAGGTGGGGATGATAGTATGTTTTTGAAATTCGATAAAAGGGTGGGAAATCAACCGGTGTCTAGGAACAGAAGTCATGGAGCTGGTGTAACTTCAATCCATTCAAATAAATCCAAAGAGTTTATTGTTGCCACTGGAAGGTAAGCTTCAATAAAATTTCTTGAATTCATTTTGATGTAAATTGTTCCGTTCATGGTTAAGCTTTCCAGGAAAATATTCTGAAAAGACCTTAATCCACATCATTTATTTATCCATTTATTTATTGACATACAAACCCAAATTAGAAAAATAATACATATCTATAGATGTACAATGAATAAACATCTCTATATACAGGGCGTTCCTTAAAGACATGCTAATATTTGAGGGGGTGATTTCAAAAAGAAAACTTCATATGAACGTATGTCCTAAAAGTCATAACTTTTGAGATACGGCGTTATGAAGTTTTGAAAAATATTCAGTTTTTTTATGATTACTAAGACAATATTGTATACATCTGTATGAAATTTGGTACACGTCTTTTATGCATCAAGGTGCATGTTCTGATGTACGATGACTTTCATTTTCTCTACCAGTGGTATCGTTTATGGAAAATTATTGTTTATATCTCACTGAAAAGTGAGCAACGACGAAAAATGTTCAAATTCCATGCAATGCTATAAAATTATTTACAAAAAACATCCATAACAAAGATACAGGATATTTTGTGCAATGATTCATCGTGATTTGCTGACATTTGTCAGCGGCGTTTCTTTATTGAAACTATTTAAGATGGCATACTATGGAAAATTTCAGATCCGGACTTGGAAAAAGTTCATGTTTTATTGTTTTATCGAAAAAGAGACCGAGCGCGGCTAATAAACCCGCACTGCTAACAAATACGAATCCACCGCCATGTATGCAATGGGCTGCTACCTAGATGTTTGTGTCTCCTTATCCTCACATCAGAGTGTTCAAAGTGTCAGTTGAGATTATTTAGATTTCACAACAATATTTTTATAATCATAGTCCTCTTACCTCAGAATATCAGTTGATATCCATACCTATCCATCCTTGGAACTTATATTCGGTTTATCATAGATAACTATCACTCATTGTCTAAATTGTAGTTTGCTCATCTATATACTACGAAATTTTGCGGCGCTGTCACGTTCATATCTTGAATCAATTCCTATTCTTCATTTTATGTAATGAAATTATAATTATTATAGTCGTGAGTTTGACACATGTCGTTATCATATTATGTAAGCTATTTCATTTCAGTGTCATGATCTATTCATATCGAAATTAAGAAGATATTTCATTCGAAGAACCTCTCGAATTTTCGATTTATTGGCAGCAGTTCCACAGAGGTCCTTAGCATGTAATGTCTTTTCCGCAGATGATTTGAGCAAACCAAATCTCTCGTTTTAGCTAGGTACTCTGAGGTAGGCACTTCTGTTTCTCAATGAGTGTGGCTGTAAATGTTCAAATTATTTCTCAGTATGCAATTTGTCCAATATTTAAACAGAGAATTTGAATTATACTCAGAATTTTCAATACCGTGTAAAAACAATATTTCAGGAAACGATCAGTCTTTTTCAAAATTATTTCCGCTGAATAATTTTCGCGAAAGTAGACTTCTCACTAATCATCACTAATTTCAGATAAAAATCCCTACTAGAAACAATCCAAAAATACATATATCTCACCATTCAAGAAACAATTAACAATCGCTGACGACACAGTTGCAGTGCCCCTGTGTTTTATTTGAGAGTACATTTCATTTGCTCTCTTGTTCATTTCATAAATCCCAATAATTAATAGACGTATTTTTTTCAGTTACGATGAATATGTTCGTATTTGGGATACCAGAAACATGAAATCAGAGATGAGTTCCATTAAAATGCCTGGCACTCTTTGGAGGCTGAAATGGGACCCGTTCCTCCAAACCCATTTGTTGGCAGCTTGCATGCTAGGTGGAGTACATATTCTGAATGTCCAAGATATCGAACGAATGAAGATTGTAGGAAGCTATTATGAACACAAAAATATTGCCTATGGTGCTGATTGGTGCTACTCAAATAAAGAGTTTTGTGATAATTTTGATGGTCCTGGAAGTTCTATTCTTGGAACATGTTCATTTTATGATCATTTGTTATGTATTTCCAAATTTGATGGAATTGATGTAAAATGAAAATATTTGTTCTAATCGGTACATATACTTTGGTTATAATTTATAATGATGAACAGTGGCAACAACAATAAATCTGAGAAATTGATTTTCTAGATCTAATGAATGTTTCGAACCTTCAATGAGAAGAATAACTTGAATGGATAATTCATTGAGGAGCTCTAAATAAATATAAATTCAACTTTCCGAAAATTAAAATTTATATACCTATTCGAACACTGGTAACTGGTATTGGAGCCCTGGAAGAGAAGGCGGTATGGAGGGTACTATCATCCGCGAAGCTGTGTACTGGACATGAAGTTACTTCCAACATATCGTTGATATGGAGTAGAAATAGTTTTGGTCCTAGAATTGATCCTTGCGGAACACCAGCGTTTATGATAAAAGAGAGTCAGATGAAGCTCCGTCGACTACTACATGGAGAGAACTTTGAGAAAACTAGCTAGCAGAGAACATAGCTGGGGAGGCAAGCCATAAGATTAAATCTTGGCGTGGAGTCCGTGGTGCCAGACTCGATCGAATGCCTTGGAGATATCAAGTGCCACGGCTAAGGTTTCACCATATTTTTCAATAGATTGCTGCCATATAATATGTGAGATGTAAGCGAGCAGGTCACCAGTGGATCTCTGATGATAGAAGCCGTATTGCCTATCGTTGATAATACCTTAATGTTCCAGGTATTTCATGAGCTCGATGTTGATAGCTTTCTCCATGATCTTTGAAATAATAGATACCAGTGCGATCGGTCTGTAAATGCTAGGTAGGGTCTTTCTGCCTTTTTTAGGAACTATGGTAGTTCTCTTGAAATTTTCCAGTAGTTGAACAACTTGCAGAGAACAGGTGTTAGTTCGGGAGCACATTTCTTGAGAACAATCAGTGGGCTTCCGTCGGAGCCACAAGCTTTGTTGGTGTTAAGACCCAATACCCAATAAAATCTTCCTTATATTACGTTGGCGAAAGGTGATTTCGGGCATATGACTGTCAATTGACGTTATGTTTGCAGGTTGTTTTCCCGATGAATTCAGAATGGAATTTCCAGCAAATAAATGCGCAAAAACGTTGGCTTTCCCCTGGACAGTTGTGGCTAGTGTTCCATATTCCTTGGTTAGAAGAGGAAACGAGTTGGAAATGAAGTTTCTTCCTACAGCGAAGGACCAAAATGAACGGGATCCGTTAGGACATTCAACAAGTTTTGATCTTATTTTGGCATTATGAGCATCCTTTGATAATCGAATTGTCTCATTGCATATGCCTCGACATATTCTGCTCTAGTCTCAGGGCCTGGATTTTTCTGCCATCGATGGAATGCTGCCTGTTTGGAAGCGACAGCTCTAGAGCAGTTTTTACTGAACCAGGCCTTATGGGAAGTTGTTCTCCTTGCAGTGTTCGGTATCTAGGTTTGTATCCCCAACATGATGATTTCAGAAATTGGCCGAACTGTAATGCCACATGAGACGGGTAGGAATTGTAGTGCTGGATGGTACATGGAAAGAGCAGGTTGTGCATGGAGATGAGGGTGTGGTCTGAGTTTCCAAGTGGGACACAAACTTCTATTCTATATGGACCAAGATTGATGGTGAGAAAAAGGTCTAGTGTATTGGCAGACTGGTTGTTGACATCTGGAATGCGGGTTGGTAGTTCGACTAGTTGTTCTAGACCATGAGTTATGGCGAAGGCCTCAGTTTGACGACCTGCATCATCTGTTTTGTTAGAGAATTTGAGCCAGGCTGCGTTGTGTACATTGAAGTCTTCCATGATTATGGTTTCAGCTCCTGAATGAAGTCTAGTTTGAGTGATAAAAACTCAAAGAGGTTGTTATACTCATTATCATTAGGCGATATGTGAAGGCAGCAGACAAATTTGGTCAGTTTGGTATCGACTAGCTTGAACCACGTCACATCAAAGTCTTTCGGTTCCAAACTCTCTACACGCTGGCATGAAAGGTTATAGCCTTAGCGTAGAGGCAGACTCCACCTTTCAACCTGAATCGAAATGGAGTTCGTATCCAGGACAGAGCATGTGGACCTTGTTGGTGGACGAGTTCACTTATTGAGTTTCTGTTAGTGCCAGAATATCTGGTTTTCTGTTTGTAGATGATGGTGGACATCATTGATGTTTTTGTTGAGTCCGCGGATGTTGCAAAAATTAATCTTCAGAGATGAGTCCCCTCGAGTATCTCTCGCTCGGAAATCCGAATGGAGAGGTATTTTACTAGGAGACTTCATCATCTTTATTCATAGAGAAGAGAAATTGGGGAAAAGGGTGGGGGAGACCGGAAAGTATAGACCGGACACTGAAACATGAAGTGATCCATTTCACAGCACATATAGTCGATATGGTGGTATTTCACCGGGCGATGAGACCATCTTCCACCTAAAGTTATCGTTTTATTCGCCTTTTATGACAGGCAGGATTTACCATGAGGGTTTATTCTGAGCACCCCCACTTTATAACATTGTTATATTTGCGGGTTCTTGTAATTTATAAACACATCTTTATAACTTGAATATCTAATGATAAAATATCTTATACAAAATACATACGTCGTACATGTTAAGTTGTCGAGCAGAAAGTGGCTGGAAGTAGGAAGTGCTGTCGCTGTCATTGTCGATAGTCATGTACACAGAACATAGAATAATACATAATGGTTCATTTACAATACAATAATACAAATAACGGAATAACATAAAACTCAGTACATTAATACAGGAATTATGAAATTACCCTTGTACCTATCATACAAAATAAGAGCACATTTGAATATTTGAATAATCTTAGACATCCTCTCGTATGTTTGCCTCGCTGCGACTATCGAACGAGCGAGGTGGAGTTATTGAGTGAGAAAGACTGAATTATTTATCATCGATATCATCCACTTAACGTTATTTGTATTTCTCTAATACCTCTCAGTAGGCATGCAAACAAAGAAAGACAGAAGAACAAGAACAATAATTCCAATAGGTATCCTTTGAAGACCTCTTTGGTGCCAACATTTTCTCATTTTCAAAACATCCCAAAACATGCCCGGAATGTTCCTAGCAAATACAGTTACATCACAGAGATATCGCAGCGATGTAACAATGGTGGCTTGTGATATCGCATTCTTTGTTGCATAGACGTCGCTGCGATGACAGAGGGATGTTATTTTGTCTCACTCAAGTTTCATCCATGCGACGTCGCTGCGATAAGTTCTCTGCGATATAACAGCGATATATTTCATGTAATCTTATTCCGATATGTTAGTTGTGATGGAAGAGCGATGTGTTCAACCCCTAAAAAATGTTTCCATAAGTATGGTGTGATAATTGGTACACCATTGACTTCTAATGGCATCTAATATTGATTATGTATCTTTTCAGCGATGCTATCCTTGGTCCCTACTAGGGTCCCTTGATGTAAATTGACGTATTTGTCAAGCCCAGTCAGCATATCCTTTCGTTGTCAACCTCGAAAGATGTCGAATAGCACTTTATCAAAACTCCTTCATCCATAGAACGGCCAGGCTTTGGAATTCATTGCCTGAGGAAGTATTCCCAACAACATAATCTACAGGAGTTCAAAAAAATTCCAATACCTACCTCCTATCCCTATCCTCCCTAGGAACGCACGATGTTCTTTGAACATTATAGGGATTCCCTTTCGTGCGCTCCAAGCGATAAAAAAATCTTAACAGCTAGGGTACGGACAGATCCTCGCCTCCTCTCACTCTAAAGTGTTTGTGAAACAGTTATATAGTTCCATATTTATTCATTTCAGGGGATAAACCAAAGAATAGTAGGTTCCTCTTTGGATAAACACTAGATTTCTGACATTTGTTATTTTTTTAGGTTATATCGAGGACATTGGCGTATCATACGTAATTTTCACATATAATGTCTCATTCAACTCTACATATTATATCCAAATGATAATGATAATTTTCGAGTTCTTGATTTTTCAACTCCAGCATAATCTCTGTGAGGCAGCGAGCAAATTTTTTTGAAAGTTTAATACGTTTTACCAAATGGGACCCTATCAATAAATGAATTTTAATTTCAGACTAAGCCTTATACCGGGTGGCTACGGAGGTATTGCCTACGGAATATCTCAGTTATTGTATGAAGTAGGTTTGTGAAATTTGGAGCGTCGATATAATGAAGAGCTATAATTTGAGCATATTGACATGTCGAAGTTAACTTCCGGTCTGACCGGAAGTAACATCAACTTTCTTATTTTAAATGAAAACCCTTTTTTTTTTTTTCGCTTTATTCAGCATTCAAATTCCCTTTCTAATGACATATCACAAGTTGGTATCTAACCAGAAACTAGATCAGAAAAAAATTATTATTGAAATTCACCGAGTAGGCCGTGGAAGCAAAATGAAAGCCAAAAATTGAAAAGTTGGCTATGGAAACCATACGTCACTTGATAACAGTTGCTACTACTGTGATATTTTATTTTCATTCGTCGGCGTTATAAAAAGCCGCCAAAAAAATTATTGGAAAAATTGGGAAAAAAACAATACTCTGTAGGTCCATAACTTAAATAGGAACATACAACTTTTTCTTGCCTGTACTATTCAGCATAACCATTCCTTTCTAATGATATAATAGGAAGTCATTTTTCGAAATGAAATACCAAAAAAACCAATTATTATTCTTCAAATAACAAAACAGATTATCGCCATACGCAAAAATAAAATTAAAAATAATATGGAATGATGAATTATATCCTGTAGGTTCTAGGATAAATAGGAACGTACTTGGTCTGTGCCATCGTATGGTTTCCATAGCCAACTTTTCAATTTTTGGCTTTCATTTTGCTTCCACGGCCTACTCGGTGAATTTTAATAATAATTTTTTTCTGATCTAGTTTCTGGTTAGATACCAACTTGTGATATGTCATTAGGAAGGGAATTGAATGCTGAATAAAGCGAAAAGAAAAAAAATGGGGTTTCCATTTACATAAGTTGGTATCTAACCAGAAACTAGATCAGAAAAAAATTATTATTGAAATTCACCGAGTAGGCCGTGGAAGCAAAATAAAAGCCAAAAATTGAAAAGTTGGCTATGGAAACCATACGATGGCACAGACCAAGTACGTTTATGTTCCTATTTATCCTAGAACCTACAGGATATAATTTATCATTCCACATTATTTTTAATTTTATTTTTGCGTATGGCGATAATCTGTTTTGTTATTTGAAGAATAATAATTGGATTTTTTGGAATTTCATTTCAAAAAATGACTTTCTATTATATCATTAGAAAGGAATGGTTATGCTGAATAGTACAGGCAAGAAAAAGTTGGATGTTCCTATTTAAGTTATGGACCTACAGAGTATTGTTTTTTTCCCAATTTTTCCAATATTTTTTTGTCGGCTTTTTATAACGCCGACGAATGAAAATAAAATATCACAGTAGTAGCAACTGTTATCAAGTGACGTATGGTTTCCATAGCCAACTTTTCAATTTTTGGCTTTCATTTTGCTTCCACGGCCTACTCGGTGAATTTCAATAATAATTTTTTTCTGATCTAGTTTCTGGTTAGATACCAACTTGTGATATGTCATTAGAAAGGGAATTGAATGCTGAATAAAGCGAAAAGAAAAAAAATAGGGTTTCCATTCAAAATAAGAAAGTTGATGTTACTTCCGGTCAGACCGGAAGTTAACTTCGACATGTCAATATGCTCAAATTCTAGCTCTTATGTCATTATATCGACGCTCCAAATTTCACAAACCTACTTCATACAATAACTGAGATATTCCGTAGGCAATACTTCCGTAGCCACCCGGTATATGGTTGAGAAATTGTGAAAAATGTTGTGTATATAGGTATTCAAACTAATGTGCTCATATGTCATGTGTGCTGTATATATTCATGTTGGAAATCATTTTTGCAGTTTTTCACAATCACTGAATATTTCCTGAGTGTAGGTATAATTTTTTAAATGGTGGGCATATATGCCTCTTCCTTTAATCCTTCGTTTTAATCAAAACTGTTCCTACCAAAATGCATTCAAGAATTTGTGGAGTGTATAGTGTATATAATTATAGGCACAATGAAAAAGTATAATATGTGATTTCGTTTTACCTCCAATATTTTGCTGATGTATTTACCAATTTTCCCCATTCGGCCACATCAGTTTCCATGTTTCTAAGTTTATTTGCATTTGATGGAAAGCTGACAAATTCAAATTTGCCATACACCTGATTGATACAGTGATGTAGTAGGTTAAGAAGATTAACATAGATCCTGTTTTTTGTTCGTCTTTTCAACTATGTCATCATCGTCTTATACAGTTTTATCATTACTTACATTAATGTGAATCAACCTCAAGAAAGATGTAAGTAAAATTTCCCTTGCTAGAATCAATGTTACCTAATGGAAAATTTTTGTAGTATCCCTGATGATGGAAATATAAGGTTCTGAGACCAAAAATAGGAAGACAAGTGTCAATGAATATGAGTCGAGAAATTTCCCCTAAGGGATGCTACAGTCCCCTGAGAGGGGGCTCCTGAAGATGATATTTCCTGATTATTTCCGAAACGCCAAGTGATAAAATATTGCGATTTGGTACAAGAACTAAACTTTCCATGCCCAATGCGGTAAACATGAAATCATTTCGAAGTTTCATTCAGGAGTGTATAATACAGGGTGGGCGTACCACATTAAATATTGCTCAAACTTTTTCGTATGCATATTTTTTGACAATTCATAATCTCGGATTATGAAAATCCAAACCGTTCCATATTGAAAGGGGCTCTTGTTCCGCATCGATCAGGTGTATCATTTTCGAGTGAAATCGATTTAAAAATATTAATGCACTTACATCAAAGGATGCATGACACCTGTTAAATTTGATGACAAATATGATAACATGTGCGATACAGTGTATAAATAATTATAATATCAAAATATTTAGAACCAGTCCTATATTTTTACAAGAATGTTTGCAAATCTGCGCAAAATCAACACCTTTTTCAATGTATGACACATAAAAAAATATTTTTGTCATCCTTTTTGTTTTAACATAAGTAAGTATTTGTCATCAAATTTAACAGGTGTCATACAGCCGTTATAATGCATTTCGAAAAAATACTTTATTCCAATTTCCAGTACTGATATACAATAATGAGGATGTATATTATGTGGTTACAGGAAGCAGGAAGAATTTATGTGGATTGAATTATTGAATATTTTGTGGAAAGTCGGGGGGGAGGGGGCAATTAACTTTCCTTAAATGACGCCTATGACCTATGATGCTGACAGCCTCTAGCCACGATGGGGGGAAGGCTAAGTATCGCTAAAGAGAGTAGAAGAAGAAGAAAAAAAACCCTCTAACCTAACATTTGAAATTTGCATTAAAATTTGTTATTCTTTTATAATTTTGAGATCCTAAATAATTGTTTCTATATTTCCATAATTTAATTTCATACATTAGATATCAAATCAACGATGGTTGCTGTAATAAGTGATAGTCAGATAAATAATATAGGAGAGGTGTTGAACAACACATCAAGACCACTGAAAGAAAGATTTCGAGCTCTCTTCACACTAAGAAACATTGGAGGAAGCCAGTCAATTCACTGTATAGAAAAGTGCTTTTCTGATTCATCAGCATTATTAAAACATGAGTTAGCCTACTGTTTGGGACAAATGCAAGATGCAAAAGCAAATCCTATTTTAACCACAGTTTTGAAAGACGTTACTCAAGAACCCATGGTGAGACATGAAGCAGGTGAGATGCATGGTACTAAAACCGAGGTCAGATATAGGGTTCATAAAACATAATACCTACTTACCAAAGTACCAAAAGCAACCTATATATTGGTTTATATAGCAATCATCATCAATATTATTAGAAGAAGTTCTCTTGGAAGTACTTTTGGAATCAGTTAATATTTTCATAAGATTTATAGGTTTTTGAAACCAGTAAATTTTGAGGTTAATTCCATTTTCTCAATGCTCATAGAACTCAGCATAAAACAATGGCAAACTCAGGGGGGCAAGCAACTCTTCATTAGTTTGGTGTCAATGCTGAGTACGAGTACCTAGATGCAACTCCAATAGTATGGGATCAGACTGCAAGATTACCATGTTCATTGAGTATCCAATGAAAATCTAATTTTAACATATTTTCATGGATAGGAGAATATATTAGTACCAGGTTGCCTATGGAAATGTGAGAATATAATTTATTCATCAGTTTAGAACATCAGTACATGTATAACATTCAGTTGTTAGATACATTTATATCATTTTCCACTATGAGAGGGGAGAGATAACACTATAAGCATCCTGAGATGCTTGTGCTGTGTAATGCCTCTTTCCTATGTAGGGGATTCAACATTTACATTGAACAGTAATGCCAATCAATGAGTACTATAGTTGTAAGAAGAACAAACAAAATTCCTGCTAAAAACTTTTTGGCTATAATTTTCTGATTTTATTATAATGTAATATCTTCTCAATATTGATTCCTGCTATTTCCTGTAACAGAAAAAACTATTGAATTTTAGCTCATTTTTGTCTCCCTCTGCTACATGTCTGGAGACAACACAACCTTGAGCTTAAATCTACTTCTTTTTTTCCCTTGTATAATAAATAACTATATACATATACCACAACATTCAATTTTCTTTTACATAAGCAGGGACTGGCCACTAGGAAGAGTTTAATTATGACGGAAGAAACTCTAACTTTCCCACTGGCTAGTAGAGAATTTAAAGCTTGAAGTCGGAAAAATAAAATTATGAACTTTGAATTGGAAATATCAAGTCAAGTTTCAATTCAGGAAATGAAACTCCCAGTTACAGGTTTTTAATCTGAAAATTAAAAGACAACACAAGACAACCGCGCCGTTGTACCTATTATTCATTTTTTGGCCAAAACCAAAATTGGAAAATTCAAAAGTGAGTTGCAACGCAACACCCTCCCCAATTTTGGTAGAGGTGATTTGGCGGAAATGGTGTCAGAATCATTATTTTTCCTTCAAAATCACCATTTTATACTCATATTCTGAAGGAACATATTTTTTTAAATAACTCATTTGGTTGATAGCTATATGGTACTCTAAAGTAGGCATTTTCAAATAAACCCCAACTGAAAAAAAAATCAAGTCGGTCGAAAAAAAGTTTTGTGAGCAATGATTTTGACATTTTGCATTCATTTGAACAGATCAAAACTAAAACCCTGCCGACTGATTTTTATATCGGCGGGGTCAATTGAGGTTTATTCAAAAATTTTGTTTCCTCAAAGTCACCATTTTTCTCTCATATTCTGAAAAAACATATATCTTCTTTTGGAAATAAATTACAATTGACCTTGCCGTAATAAAAATCAAGTCAGCCGGAAAATAAATTGTTTTGTGAGCAATATGAATTGGAATAAATGTTGCTTTCATATTAAAACCGATTAAAACGTGAACCTGAGCCGACTTGATTTTCATTATGGTGGGGTCAGCTCAGATTTATTTTAAAATACTAACTTCAGGTCCTTCAGGATCCCATAGCTTTTGATCTTTTAACCAAATGAAGATGGAAAAACTCTTTGGATGAAAGTTGTTAAAAAAATATGTTATTTCAAAATATGAGAAAAAATGGCAAGATGGCAGGGCAAGATATTTAACTGAACTGGACAAAGGTATTGGAATATTGTTGATCTCCATATTTACAGGTATCTAAATACCACCGAAAAAATTTAAAGTGTGTTCCTTGTGATATTTTAGGAAATAAAGTTCATAAACTCTTGAACTTGACGTTTCTCTTGCTGACACAATAAAATGATTAGTATGTATGTTGCTAGGCAACACTTTCAGTGTCTAGGAGCTAAAGTTGAAGTTTAACTCCTAGGAACTAAAAGTGTACCGGATGACAGCTGATATAATAGCTGCTTTGAATTAGATATCAATTATTTCAATTGCAGAAAAAATAGAATGTTTCATTCGGATCAAAAGTGACTCTGTTTGACTCACAAAAATGGCGTGCTTGGCTTCTCAGTCGCTCCGCCACGCAAACGCAAAGTCCGACTAGGTATCAAATTTGATCCTAATAAAACAATGTACTATTCTATTTAGGATGAATCAAAGCAATTTTATGAATCCAAAGTTCATATAATCAATCATTCAGTCGTGTAATAAATAAAATGTATTCGAGGTCTAATGGTCTTCAGTACACAATACCATATCCTACGTGTTTTTATGAAAATATCTAATGGGATAGGCGAGGATTTTTTTCTCAGAGATTCTCCAAATGAAACTGCTGATTATTCAAGCGGTGTCCCAGAACAAAGTACCATAAATTCTACAGGGTGAACTAGATTCCAAAATAGGCCGGTTGAAATCAACTTGCCTCTATTAGAAAATGCACCGTTGAAGCCGTGAGAGGGCGATGAAGAACAATTTTATTTCCAGATTTTCTTCAATATTTCGAAATTCTTGCGAGCTACTGCTCTGAAATTCATAGGACAATTCACTTTAGTGAATCTACATGGAAAACATATCATTCCAATTCCATCAATATACAAGGAGTTAGGTATTTCACATAATGTTTGATAAAAATCAATGGAACTTTCTTGGAGTACGGCTCTGAGCACATTTTGATATTTCAAAGAAAGAAAATCAATTATCTCACTTTTTCCTAACGTCAGTTCTTTTAATAATTATCCTTGGTTCCCGAGATAAATGACAAAATTCATTTCGGTGCTCCTCCATACTACTCGTGTATGATGTAAGAATTATCATGTTTTGCTCGTTTCCTCCTCATTTGTGTTGAGTTTTTGACTACAATAATCATGTACCAATTCGCGAGCCCTTCGTCGTATGATTTGGGAGCTGGTCATTCCCAAATTTCAGTTCAGGATTTCTGGAAAAAAACTTTATTCGAGATAAAAGAGAAAAAAAACTTGCGAAACATAATAATCGTCATAATCATAATGAAGTACAGAGGATCACCAGAATGAATTCTGTACGTTAGATATCTCGAAAACCAAGAGAACAAAAACACTGCAGTGAGAAAAAAGTGGGATAATTAATTTTTTTCTGCACCCGACGCAAAAGTTGTCCATTTTGATACCAAAATTAGCTCTTGAATTGACGTTTCTATTACTGACACGAAAATAGGTATGTTGCTAGGCAACATATTTAGTTCCTAGGAGCTAAAGTTGAACTTAAGCTCCTAGGAACTAAAAAGGATGTACTAGACGTCATCAAGAATAAACAACATTGTTACGTTTGGTTATTTGGGTTGGGACGCATACCTGATTTGTTTCCGATTTCGGCAGATTTGGCATTTCATACCCATGCTAGAGATATAAATACACCTTATCATAGTTAAGTATAGGAATTATTAACATCTCAGTTAAGTATTCTTGTTTTGATCAGGAAAGGCTACAAGATTTACATACTTGCTTGATCTGTATTTCATTCGTTATTCTCGGGATGGATAACTTGTTTTTGAATAATCACGGCAAGCAATAGTTTTTTGTCTCAAACAACGATAATGTTGTTGTGGACCACCCAACTGTTGTGGACCACCCAATTTATCTCACCACCCAATTTATCTCACCACCCAATTTAATTTTGAATATTCCCGCAATTATTTTGACAGACGGAAACTGTCATGTCTGACAGTTTCCATATGTCCGTATCCTATTGATGACGAGAGTCCCGTCATCTTCAAGCAAGTGGGCAGGATTGGATAGGGATTCACTCTTGATCAGGGTTAGTTAGGTAGAGGTACCATGTGATGTCTGTAATACCTAATTATATGATTGTCGGAATAAAACGCAAATTATGAAACCGAATTTTATTAGGAAAACGACCAGGTTTTCCACAATGTTTACCTCTATTTGATTAACAAGTCAAACACAGTGTAGTATGGAGAGGAATAAATAATCGCTATTATAATTATTGTTGATATGCTCAATAAGATTACATTTTCCACGTCTTGTTCCTATACCTCTGGCACTGGCGCGGTATTTGCTATTAGAGCACCTGGTCCACACACAAATATATCACTCTGTGGTTGTATTTATGTTGAAACTACAATTCCAACATCCTTGAAAATTGAATGAACCTGATGTGAATGCAGGTAGAATATTCTCACCACACGGATTTTGCATTGATTTTGATTTGTTGCATTGTATACATATGGCACGGCATTGGTGGTAACTTCACATATTTATTTGAGTTAATTGTTTCGGTGGCAGAAAAAATAGCATGTTTCATTCGGATCAAAATTGACTTTGTTTGACTCGCAAATTTTGCTTTCGCTCGGTTTCGCGAAACGCTGGGGTCCAAGATGATTACTCAACTCAGGTACCTAAAAATTGATAAACTCAGAAGCAACTTTATGACCCCCCAGCAATAACGAAAGAATGCATTCCAATTAATGACTAACTTCAGGTCAAATTCTTTGTTGTAAAAGGCCACCGCCACCTGTTACTTCGTTATATTTTAGTTGAACACTTTGTATATAGTTTGGATATGTCATTGAGGTTTGATAGAAAAAAAGATTGTAGGGAAAAATAATAATTTTGAAAGACGTCAGAGTTCTAATTGTACGGGACGAAATAAAAGGTATAATTAAGACCAGACAATTTTTGATTATTCGACGAAAGAGATTTAACATTGGTCCTTCGATTCAAATAACTGGTTCTTTGGAAAATGCAGCCCAGAGAAGAGAATTTGAAGAAATTCACCAGTACCCGGAGAACAGCAGGTACTCACGGTAATCTTGA